TTTATTCTGAAATATTATGTAATATTAGACTATAAAATATAAATACCTATGTTAATTTCCAGACAATACAAAAGTGAATGAAACTATTTCAAATTTAGCTGAATGTTCTAATGAAAGTACTAGGTAATTTAAAATATAATCTGTCAACTAGCGGTAAGCAGTTTATTCAGAAATATTATATAATGTAAAATACAAATATTTTAATTTGTTTCTAGACACTTTTTCAGTATTGGGAGTGGCAGATAATATGCTTACAAGTCCATTAGTTACCAGAACGCAATACTTTTAAAAATAATAATAGGTTTATTTTAATAAGAAACATTTTAGATTTAAAACATTTTTTTTAGAAAAATAAAAACTTTTATTGGAGACTTCAATGAAAATGATTTAGATACTCCCAGAAAAATAAAAAAGTATTGGAATACCTCACAGAGAACATTTAAGAAGTACAAGAGTAGAGTAAAGACCTTAGAAAATCAAAACCAGTACCTGAGAAATAAAATCAAAAATGTTGAGCAGTTAATTTCACATTTACAGAAAACTAACAAAATGTCTGATGAATGATACTCAATGTTAAAGGTATTTTTTCCTAAACACGATTATTGTTATGTTATGTGGTAATTTAGTTGTATATGTATTTTTTAATGCAATATATTATGCTGTTCTATGTTTACTGAGCTAATATTGATAGTTTTAAAATTTATATTTTAACCAACATTTTTGAACTTGAACTCTGCATGTGCTTTATGTGTAAATGTAATTAAACTTGAGATTAAGATGATGTTGAGGTGCAGTGGTTACCAAAATAGTTAATTTCATAATCTTCTAAAAATATTTTATATAATATAAATAATAATTGATATTAATCATTTTTTTAAATTTAGTTTTGCATGACGTACTTATGTGTTCTTAATTTTTATACATTTCTTAATGTGATATACTATGTTGTACTTAAATTATATTTATGTTCATAACTATGATATGTTTGTGTTATTTATGTGTTTATTGTTTTTTTCTGGAACTATCATATCTTTAGTTAGTAATAACTATAATTTAGAAATTAATTTTCATTTATAGGATTCCCTTCCTGACGTCCAAAAAGAAATTATTTTAAAACAACTGAATATGACTATACAGATATCTGTCACACATAAATTGAGATATTTTGCATTAACTCTTAATTTTTATCCATCAAATGCATACAACTATGTTAGAAAAAAAAATAGTAAATGCTTACCACACCCAAGCACATTTCGAAAATGGTATACAGTGGTAGATGGTTCGCCAGGTATTACAAAAGAATCATTAGTAGCAATTGAGTTAAAAAAACAATGAAATGAAGTCTCGTGGAAAAAATTTAGTATGTGCTATGATGCTTGATGAAATGTGTATTAAAGAGGACATTCATTTTAATGGCAAAAAAAACCAAGGATTTATAGATCTTGGCATGGGTATGATGGAGTTACCTTTAGCAAGAGAAGCACTGGTGATTATGTTAGTTGCACTAAACTCTAATTGGAAAATACCAATAGCATATTTATTTACAAACGGCTTATTGGGTCAAGAGAAAGCCAATATAGTGAATTTGTGTTTAGAAGCAGTTCATCAATCTGGTGCTAAAGTTAAAACTTTAACTTTTGATGGAGCAAGCTCAAATATTATGATGGCTACTAAATTAGGTGCTAATTTAAATATTTAAAATTTACAACCTTATTTTAAACAATAGTGTTGCGCATTATCTAGATAAAAATATTTATCTTCTTACCTTATCTAGATAAATAAAATAGTTATGTGAGAAATACATTTTCTAAGTTTTTATTGCTATTTTTATTCGATTTTATTTTCAAGTTATAATAATTGTAAATATTTACACGTCGAATACTTCGTAGTATATATTTTATTATTTTGTATATATGCAATATGCCTATATTAATATAATATAATACTATTGATTATAAACTAAGTGCCTAATAGTATTTGTGATCAATAATGATACAGAAATATTAATATGGACATTAATACAATTAAACATAGTTGGTTTCTGGAAACCATAGACCTATTAACTAATTAGTAGCTCGTTAATAAGTATATTCTGGAAACGTATTGTATTATTTTCGACTTTATACCATGTATAGCAACAATTCACTGGCCTAAACGTTCAAATGTTTTATAAATAACAGTATATTATTATATACTTCGATTATCATGATTAAAGTAATAAATAATAATAAAACCTATCACTCACTACTGAGAATAGCAAACAGACGCAGTAATTGCTAATCAGTGAAAATTAACATGTTTTTATAGATTTAGCTATATTTATAAAATATTTATGTACAAAATATATACAATAAAAGTTATAAATAGTCTGCCGACTGCCAGCATGATAACAACTCGATGTTTAGTATCCTACATTCATACTTCACACAACAGTCTATCATTGTTAACCCGCAGTGCTGTTAGACGTTAGTTTTATTTTGGATGTTGGTTTTTGATTTTAAAATGGATAAATTTATTTCTTCTTACCCTCGCGGTAAAAGAACCTATGAGGATAATCTCGATGATGTACCAGTTGACAGCCTTGGCTTTGCGATCAGGGCCGTCTAAAAGAATTGTTCCTGAAACACTTGGATCTAACGAAAAAACTATAATTGACGAAACACAAAATTACTTGTTGGATGGGAAGTACTATAAAATCGTTTCAGTCAATGAGTTGAAAATGGTTGTGTCGTGTCAACAATGCTCAAAAACAATTATCGCTCATTCAAATTCGATGGGAAATTTATTAAGTCATTATAAAGTAAGTTATAATAATTAATTTATCTCAGTCCGTTCCAGGGCCGGATTTAAATGTTCAGATGAACGCGGTAAATCTTTTTTGATGCCCCTAGTAGTTAACAAATTAAAAATACCCAATATCTATTTAATATTCTATGTGGATAACCTAATAATGAAAAAAAATAATTTTCAAACTTCAACACGTTATAAACTTATAAGTTATAACTAATACTTGTCAATCACTTAAGACGTGTTTATTTAAAGTTTGAAATACCTACCGCAGTTCATGTGTCACAAATTTCAAAATTAATTTAAAGCTAACAATATTATAATATACTATTGATTAAACCTTCATATTTTTAAGAGTAAAAATGATTATATTAATCTCATAACATTTTATTTATTACAATTTTGAAATTAATCCTTCACACCGTTACATTTATAATAAATTATAATTACAGTTTAATTCAAGTTTAATTTAATTTAATACTTTCAATTTTTTGTAATTTACAGTTGATTCTAAATAGTACAATCAAAATGGGTGAAATAAAAATGTTTAAGTATAAATAAATTTTTATAAATTTGGTACTTTTCTTATTTTTTCCCTACAAAGTTTTCTATAATTTCATCAAATGATAAAAAATCCAGTACCTACATGGCTACATCACATTCATTCATTTTTTTTTTTTATAGTATATCAGCATGACAGCATCTAGATGCTTCCAAACATCTGCTGCCCGGGGAAAGTGCCCCTAAGAGTTAAGACCCTCCGCCAAATCCGGCCCGGGTCCACTTTATTTATTAATAATAAAACCTCACAAATAGTCACTATTTATATTAAAAGCTGTTACATATTAACTTTTAGTTGCTTTGCTCATTCGTAGTCAGTCACTTAGTTATTAATTTTATTTTTTAAAAGTTGGTTTTTGAAAACTGCTGTAAAACATATTTTTTAATTCTCATATAGTTCTAATATTCATGTATTATCCCGTGTATTATTGACTACCTACCTATTAATTTTATACCTAATATTTGGTATTTACTAACTTTTAACTTTTCAGCATGTGCACTTAGGAATGATGAGTCAATTAAAATTGTATAAAAAAGAAAGGTCAAACCTTAGTTCAAACAATGTGTCGACATCCAAGCAAACAAAAATATCTCATTCTGCAGATAATTCTGGTTTTAATAAAAAATGCTCTACACAAAAGGTATGTAATTATCATATACCTTAGGTATAATACCTATGCATATTTCTTAATACTTACTAACTAGTAATTAGTGAATACTAAATAGTAATATATAGTCAATTACATAAATCAATAAATTATTTTATAATATATAAAGCCAGTGTTTTACTCAGCAGAAATAAAATTCAAATTTACTTTTAATGAAAATTACTTGAATACTGCTCTCAGCTGCTAGTAGGTATTTAAAAATATCTTAAATCTTTGTCATTTGTTTTGAAACTGATGATTTTTTCAAAATCAAAAAATTGACACATTATACTTATACTTGGTATGTCATTGTTTTTTAATTTATTGTACCTATGTAGTATGTATTAATTAAAATTACTCAATGATAAAAATAAAAATACTATGATATTTTAAAAATATTTCATAGATAATCTAATAATTTAATTTATAATTCATCTGATAATAACTTAAGACATTTAGATTTTTTTATAAAAAGTGCAACAAATAAAATTAAACTAACAAATTTAAATAATAAAATAAGTATCTACTACTTAATTTAACATTAATAATGAAAAGTATTATTATTTCCTTAGCATAGTACAAAGGAGTAGTGTACACAAAATTTAAGAATACAAGTATATTTAAAAATGTAACTTGATCATAAACGCTTAATAAGTGTATGGTTATTTAAATATTTAATAGTTTTAATAATTATTTTAATATGGTAGAAAATCTAATCTCTAAACTTTTTTGATTTGTAAAAACTTATGACATATTACAATATTATAATTTTTTAGTTGTTAATGATGTGAAGCTAAGCTTAGGTTTATCTAATATTAAATCACTTAACTTATAGCTTATACAAATATTACTACAGATTTAAGATCCAAAATGAAAAAATACAATTTAATTTATAATATTGATAAATATACTAATGATATTATTTGTGGTATAAATGTATAATTTAACATGCATTATTTAAATTTCTGGTAACTGATATGATAATTCAATTATATAGTAGAAGAAATGAAACTTATTTCAACTTGTGAAAAACCATCATTCAAAAAATTACTTACTGGATTGACTAATGATAATTTTGTGCCGAATAGAAGAATAATAAGAAACGAGTTAGTAAATAAGTATAACGATTATGTAAATTACTTAATAGTGAAAATTTCTATGCAAAAATATATTTGTGTAACAACGGACATTTGGAGTTCACTGAACAAGAGTTATTTGGGGATGACCATGTACTATATAGAAGAAAATACGTATCAGCGTTTTTCATATGTTATAGCTTGTCGAAGAATTGAAGGTAGCCATAACTACATAAATATTGCAAAATCCATATCTGACATTTTGACAAGTTATAAAATTGATGTTAAAAAAATATCACACACAGTCACCGATAATGCGTCTAATTTTGGTAAGGCATTTCGCATTTATTCTCAACAATTTACTGCTGAACTGCCAGAACCCACTGCGAATATTTACTTAACCTTAAATGACCGAAGTATTAATCAGCTAATAGATGATATTGATCAAAGTGCTGAAAACATTTCTGGACCAGATTCAGAATTTATACAAAATTATATGGATAATGAACCTGACGATATAGAAGTAATAAATGTATCTGATATTTTATCAAATTATGAAGACACTGAAAATGAAAATAATGACAATGAAGATGTTGACATAATTTTATCGACTCATATGACATGTTCAGCACATACCTTAAATTTAGTAGCTACAACTGATACTGCCAAGATTACAGATTTAAGTTACAAAAAAATATCAAGATCTGCCTTTGGTAAACTTTCATCTTTCTGGAATTTGCTAAGCAGAAGTACTGTGGCTTCAGATCTAACTTATAAAATATGTCAGTCTAAATTTCCAATAAATGTAGTTACACGATGGAACTCTTTCTTTGATTCCATCAAGAAGGTTATACTTTGCCGTATAAAAGTGATCGATTGCTCCGAACAATTAAAGCTTTGCAAATTAAAAGTGACTGAATGGAACTTTTTGGTTGAATACATCAAAGTCATGGAACCCTTAACAACAGAATTAGATAAACTACAGGGAGAAAAATCATGTTATCTTGGATATGTAGCTCCAACTATTATTACAATGAGACATATATTAATGGAACAAACTCATTTGGTCTACTGTGCAGCATTGTCAAAGGCTATTATAAAAGGTCTAGAAAAAAGATATTATTTTATTTTTGATTTAAAAGACCCAAAAAGTAAGCCATACATATTAGCTGCAGTAAGTCATCCCAAGTTTAAGATGGATTGGATGCCACAGCAATTTTCTGAAGAGCTGTTCATCTCAGAATGCAATGAAATTGGTTCTCTCATAGATATTGAAACTGGGAACTCTACAGTATCAGACGATGATAGTGACGATGATTTCTATAGTTCATTATTACCGAGTTCTCCATCGTCAGGAAGTTTTGACAGTTCATGTCAAAGAAGTGATAACATGACAAGTGTACAGGGACTATCTTTTTTGAATTAAAAAGGAAAAGAACGGAAAGACCTAACAACCTTAGACCATTTTCCAATTGTAAAAGAAATATTTCTTAAGTACAACACAACACTTCCTTCTTCTGCACCAGTTGAACGTCTCTTTAGTAGTGGGAGTCAGATCTTGGCTCCTAGAAGGAATCGTTTAGGTGACAAAACATTTGAAATGTTATTATGCATTAAATCAAACAAAATAAATGATTAATTTTTATTAAATATTAAATTATTGTATTCTAAGAAAGTTATTACTTATTATAAGTTAATGATATAATAACTCCTTATTGCTTTGAGTTAAATAAAAATATTAAAATATTGCTGTTAATATTTTATGACATTGTGTAGATTTCTCATTTCTATCATAATGAATATATGTGCAGTATTTCAGTTACGCCTTAGCTGTTGTGGCGTAAGTATACATAAATTTAAAAAAATATAAGTGTATGTTTATAAAAATGATATGTATCTTCTAAGCAAATAACTATATTATGTTCATTATTTTGTTAATTATTAACATTATAATTTTTATTCAGTTATTGTTTAGTTATCATTTTGAATTTTTTAAATAAGGTATTATTAACTGATTATAAACAAAATACGTTTAAAAAAGAAAAACGTTTATTATATAGTGATTATGTTTTTATAAATTATAATTACTAGTTAGGTATTGAGTAATAAACAAAAAAAAGCAGATTTTAATTATTTTGTGTCTCCAATAGTAAAATAAATCATAATCTTATACTTTATTATTATTTTTTTTTTTTAATTCAAAGGCTTTGATTACAGTGATTATTAGCCTAAGTTTGCATCCTAAATGTACTTAGAAAATATTAGAGAAAAGTGCAAATAGTAGAAAAAACAAGAACAAACTTTATATTATTTTATTTATAAAGAAATTGCCATTTTACAAATGCAAACTTTAAATTGTGTAAGTTTTTTTTCAATTATCTATTTTTTTATCTAGATAAATGTGGTTATCTTTTATGTATTATCTATTATCTTATCTAGATAAATATTCAATGGATTATCTGTTATCTTATCTAGATAATTTTTTGGTTATCTTTGCATAACACTGAATTACATCCAGTTAAAAAAGAAAATATTCACATATCTTATGATGCATTTCACATGCTTAAACTTTGTCGAAACACACTTGGCGACTGGAAAGTATTATTTGACAAGAATGGAAACGAAATTAAGTGGCAATTTTTTAAGTTATTAGTAGAACTACAAAATGAAAAAGATCTTCATTTAGCATCAAAAATCAGGAACAGACAAATTAATTACCATAAAGAAAAAATGAAAGTGAAATTAGAGGCCTAAGTATTTAGTAGCAGTGTTTGCAAATTAGTAGCAAATTTGATAATTTATTTAATGATAAATACATTAATGATGTCATTGAGTACATAGCCGGTGTTGTAACTAAAAAAGTTATAAAAGTGATTAAATGCAGCGTTTGTTTTTCAGCATTAAAGATGGATATTCAACATGATGCATCTTTAATTAACATAAAAAATAAAGAGGCATTAACAAAACCAAACAAATATATAGCTCAAATATGCAAAATTGCAGAATTTACTTTTAGATCATTAAAACATAAAATAGACTCTCAAAAAAACATCATTGAATTTTTAACAATAAAATCAATTTCTAATATTCAGATTACAAATTACTTTAACTGTCTGAATAAACACATCAAAAAACAAGATCCCCTTAAACATCATACTTCACAAATTATAAGGCTAGCTTTAAAATTTTATATGACAATAAGATTGCATCATTTAAATAATACAAAAAGCGAACTTGTTTCAAGAATAAGGGCAGTATTAACAAAAGCTATTCATTTCAGGCATCAGTAACTACTTATTTTACATGTAATATTTTAATTTTTGATTCTTAAAAAAATAAATAATAAATAATTAAGGTATATATTTTGAATGTAGGAAAAAAAAGCCACCGAAAAAAAAGCCAAGAAAAAAATCCACGAAAATAATAGTAATGAATATATTGATTTTACAATGTGTATTTTTTTATTTTTATTATAAATTTACTTATTTAATATTTTTAACTTCTAATTTTCTGGTGGGAAAATATTTAAATACAAATTTTATACTATATAATAATATAACTTAATATTGGTTCACATTGCAACATGTACTTTTGAAAAAAATAACCCTGTACAAAGTATATAATAATCAAAAAAAATGTAAAACAAGGTTTATAGAGGTATAGACGTATAGTATAACTTAATATTAATTGTAGTTCATACTGCAACAGTGCGGCATGTAGGTACCTACATTTAAAAAAAATCACCCTGTACATAGTAGATACGTAAAAAATAACTAGGTGTAAGACATAAATCAATCAATTAATTTCAAGATAATATGTAGTTTATCCACAAAGTATCAATTTATTTTTGTCCAATTGTGACATGTTGGAAATTTACTGAAGGAAATTCCCTTAAAACCGTTTTTGGGTAAAGTTAGATTATATTTGTTAGATTGTTTCATACATTTCTTTCAGTCACATATCCATCTCCAGAGATAGCATATTATGTCTTATTTTTCAATATTTAAATTTTTATTAGTAATTAGTGTAACAATGGAAATAATAAATTCTAATAAAAATAATAATAAATTATGTTATGAGGGTTATATGTACGTTCGAAAACATACAGGTAAAAGTCGTATTGCGTGGCGTTGCAGTAAAGCAACCATGCTCAAATGTCCAGGTACCATTTATACAAATATTGAGAAATCAAAAATTCTTGAAATTGAAACATCTCATATTATAACACATAGACCAAATACTAACGAAGTTAAGGTTAGCAAGTGTTACAATGAAATGAAAATTCAAGCCAAAACCACTAAAACTAATCCAGCGCACATTTTTGGAGAGTGTGTTGCAAAATTAGATGACAAAAGTCAGATGCCACCTGAAAAAATAGTCAAGCGTACACTGCGAAACCAAAGGACAAAAAATAACCCCTTAGACTCTGATGAAATAGTAGGTAAGTCATTAAAAAAATATGATTAAATACAGGTGCGTACTCAGGAATTTTCAATGGGGGGGTTGAACTGAATTTTATTTTTATTTTTTGACTTTAAGCGTTTATGGAAATAGAATAAATACTTAAATTTTAATACTGTCATTAATATTTTTCAAAAGTATATTAAATTACTATACATTTTAATAATTTATCTGTGTGAAATAGTACATGTAATTTTAGTATATACCTAATTTAGAAAAAACAATTAATAATTTTGACTAAGGGGGCCTTGACAGTTTTACATTAAATTTAGGGAGCCTCATGACAAAAAAAATTGAGAAGTACTGTACTAGATTATAGTGTAAAATATCTAAATATATTTATTTTTATACAATATAGTACATATAGTACCAACTTATACACAATATAGGGCTTTTTTTTCTGACTACCATATATTTTACACTTTACAAGTCTTATCAGTTATCACTTTTATTTAAACCAAATAATACCTTGGAATAAAAACAGTAAAAATGTTTTATCCATGCTATTTTAACCATATGTTATTATGGCTGAATTTATTGATGGCGAGGGGGGGGGGAGGAACGCTCAGTTCATCTATATTATATCTATGTGTCAGTCTACCAGCGACTGTAGTTTGACACCGCTAACCCCAGACGGCTGAAGTCCGAAATATCAAATAAAAAGGTACGCAAGGCGAGTGGTTAAGTTCAATCATTGGATAAGGAACTTTAATTTTATATTAATACAATAAACACTGGTTCAATCGCATTATAGATGTCAAAAGGATAAGGATCTGTTAATTATCCAAAATAAACAATTTATCGGAGAGTAAGTACCTAAAGATTATTTACTAAAAAATAACTGAAATTATTAGGTTCTTATAAATAAGATAATATAACGACACTTGTCACCCGTCAGGTTAAAAGATCTGTACATTACTGTTTCAATTTTATTCTTCTTGTAACTAACATGTTTAGGTACTAAAACGTGCTCAAGCATATTATAATGACGTGTTATAATGGTTGATAAATTGTGAGCTACCGGAATTAAAATTAATCTTTGTACTTTGGTATTTTAGAATACCTGAATACCATTAATCGGTAATTACCGTTGATACCAAAAATACCGTATACCTACAATTATTATTTGTATATCTATACTATTATACTATTATAATAAGAGTTTGCTTCACAAAATAATACTAGTTGGACCTCTCTTTCCCACAACAATTTGACCGATAACCTTGTCTCGTCTCAACAAAAAGTATATGTGCACGACTCACCAGTGCAGCCAACCGTGTTTTTAATTGCTTACAATTTATCTTGCGAATGAAAATCGGGCTGCTAGAATAAGTGCAATGTGTATTTATGTACATCGTACGACGTCAGTATAATAATCACTAATTACATGTAGTAGCTTGTGCTAATAATATTATAGTTATTATTTGTTTTGTAAGTTCCTTGACATCGTTCATAGGTACATATTGCGTTTCTATATAGATATTAATTTTTGGCCAGTTCTACGCCGGGAGGACAGCTATAGTAATCAATAAGACACAATATGATAGGTAAATAGGAGCATTCACAGCTACGTCGTGTATCGTGTCGTGCGAGGGCTTGGTTATTGTATGAATACGACCGATAACCGGTAACTGGTAACAAAAAATTTTTATACAAAAATGTGTTTCATTTAATTTCTAATACAATGAATGCATTTTTTCCCCTTATTTTGCCTTTTTCACCTGTAAATGTCTTTTTGTTTTTTTTTTTGCATTTTTTGTGATTAATTTTCAATTGATTTAATAATTTTATATACAGCTTAAAAAAGTAATATCCAATCATAATACGATTTAATCGACACGACACACGACGCAGCTGTTAAACCAGCTTAACACTTACAAATTCACAGAGATCTTTTTCCGAGGTATGGTATTTTCGATAATTACCTAGGTACGGTATTTTCGCTAATAACCAAAAATACTATTTAACCAGTAATACTGTAGATACCGGTATAGTAATCAAATACAGGATACCGGTATAAAAGTATTCGAAATACCACCAACACTAAGCCACAGCCTGCACACAAGCACCCCATTATAAGACACTTAACTAGTTGTTATTTTAAATCAAAAAGAAATATATTATTTTGATATGTTCAGTAGCTAAAAGTTTTCATCTAGTGCTGAGATTCACTTTTGAAGTGTAAATATAATGCAATCAATATTACAACTCTAAAAATTGTTGATTTATTAAAGTTACAGTTTTAGTTAATATTTATTTATTTTGTAATGTGATTACAGTTGATAAAAATTATCAGAATGAGTACTTCGATAGTTATAAGACGATTGTTGATTTGTCTGGTGATATTCATACCACCATGTTGCATAGGCGATAGGCCTACTTTTTGGCACACATATCTAAAGACTTCCCAATTAGACGAAGCAATCAAAACAGCCATTGACAAAATTGAAAGCAGATATCGTTCAGAGGATATTATAATATCAAATGTTAGTCGTTTGATAACGGGAAGCCCGGCTCATGGACAACTGATCAATTCTATGCCTTCCAAAAACGGACATTCAGCATCTCGAAATGCTGAAATTTTAATTGAAGCTTCATTACATTTGATTGATAGGTATTCACAGTCTACTATATATAAGCATTTAATGAATATTTCAATGACAATAAAATATACATGATTTATTTTAATTATATGCATAAATGTATTAAATTATCATTTCAGTTACGGGTATGAATATGGGTATTCTGATACTAGACAAAATGGTATAGATTTAAGTACAGTGAAGCTGAATGGGACAATATTCGGTGAGATGTGTATGTCCGAGTATAACAACAGAAATTTGTGCACCGGGAAAGACTTAAATTATCGTAGTGCTGATGGATCTTGTAACAACCTGGAACGTAATTATTTGGGAAAGGCAAACACGGCTTATAAACGTTTACTCTTTCCAGAGTACACAGATGGTAATATTTCTTAATTTTATGTGACGCAAATCACCCGTAACCTATATGTATATATTTATTTCTTATTAAAAACATTAAGATATTCATAGCACTCTTTCAATTATCACGTAATTTCTGATAATATATTAAATTATGTATTTTAAATTTTAATTTTAATTCCTCTAATGCTTTGATTTCATGAATCGATCATTTAGGTATTTCCGAAATGCCAAATTTTTACGAAAAAAAGCTGCCTGATCCTAGATTAGTGAGCACAAATTTTGTAAAAAACGAGGACTCACCTGACCTCACAAAAACTATGTTGATGGCATACTGGGCGATGTTCATAGGCCACGATCTATCACACACTGCGGTTTCTACAATGGGTATGCACATTAAACATACGGCAGTATATAAATTGATTGATTTTAATTAATGCAAGCGTACGTATAAACCCAAAGGGACAGACCATAGATTTGAGAGTTGTTGTGATAAGGACAAAAATATTCAATATGCTATGATGAAACACATAAAGTCCTGCAAGCCCATATATGTACCAGCTGAAGATAGCTTATGTAAACCTGATCCGCTTAGTTGCATGAAGTGCATGAACTACGTCCGTTCACGGCCAGCTATGCGTCCTGATTGTACATTTGGACCCAGGGAACAAGTAACAGCCATATTAACTAATAAAATATTGAAAAAATTATATTATATATTTATTAAAGTAAAAATAATAACAATCGAATAAACCATTTTGAGGGAATAAGGGTTCTGATGGTGGCTTGTATAGGCCAACTTCATATAAAAACGTTCACAGAAAATCGGGTATGTTAAATAATTCATTGTACATTTCGTTCGTTTGGATAATTTAATACGTTTTATTTGTATATGTTGGTGATAATAATTTAAATAAGCGGGTAAGTGAACGTCGCTCTGCTGTTCAGTAGGTTACACGTTTTTCACTGTATAATGGATTGTATTAAATTTGAATTCAATGATATCATATCATTGTGTACGAAAATGATTCTGAACGGAGATTGTTTTCCAGTATGGATTATTTATATTGTTATTATCAAGCCTTTAACTGAGTTAAGTCAAGTTAACAGAAAACATTTTAAAAAGTTTAAAGTTACAGTTAACCTATTTATTTTTTTAACTCAGTTAAGGTAAAAGTTATATGAACATTTTTAATTAACTTATGAACTTAAGTTAATTTAAGTTATTATTTTTTTTTTTTTATAATATCTATATAAATACCCAGTAATATGGTTTAAAATAATAAAATCATAAATATTATTGAACACAGCAAATAGCCAATAGCTTTTCTATATAAAGGTATTGAATTAATAGAATTATGTAGTAGGTACCAAAATCATACAGAATTGAAAATGCCAATACAAATACAATCTTTTGACTGGCTTAATATGACATACCACTATTTAATTAAAAAAAAATTGAAGGAAATAATGTTAGTTAGGTAACACATGAAACATGAGCAACATATTTGTAATTATATTATATACATATTTCTGAAGTCTAATTGTACATTTAATACAAATAAATAATTTCAATTCACTTTTTTTTTAAAAGTATTTAATATGCCATCTCAACCGGAGTGTCGGGTAAAATTACACACACCATATTTGTTTTATAAAACAATTGCAGTATATCTTGATTTTTTTATGTTCAACTTCGAATATAAAAAATTGAAGGAACATAAGGTTTTATATTTTAAAAATGATTAAAAAAATGTTGATAAGACAAAAAACACATTTTTGTTTTCAAATTATCTGATAAGGTCAAAACCGGTGGTCACTGTATACAATTGTATGTAGGAGGTTATAATATGTAAAGTATTGAAAGCGGATTTGGTTTCTTAAATATCAATAATTCTAATCAAAACATCAATGTGTCATATTACACTAATATGTCATGTTAAGCTAGCCTGCCCTACATATTATACAGACCAAGTCTCCAGTTAGTGTAGACTGAATGTATTGAGAGAATTAAAAATTAAAAATTCTATAATTTAATAATTTAATCAAAAAAAATAAAAATAAACGTATTTCACTGGACACATAATCGTTACACAAAAACTGAAATACGGTATTGTAAATCTTGAGTTCTGAGAGAGCCGAGAACGAAAAGTTTATAAATATAAACATTTTAAATATACATGTGCATAACCCAATAAGTTTTAATTTAAAAATAACCTATTTTAAATTTTTAACGCGTTTATGCCCAAGCTTGGTTATTAATTATTCTTATTAATTATATTTTATTATATTCTGTAAGTTGATTTAATATTATAAATTACAACAAAATAACTAAAATCATCATTTTTATTTTTATTTTTATTCATTTCTATGGTGATAAACAAAGTGTTAGAAATTATTAATTAATATCCCATTTTTGGCGTTTATTTAAAGTTTATGGGTGTGGTTTTTCCTGTATCATTAAATAATATATTGAGAAAATCGAAAAAAGACCTCTTTAAAGTACCATCTTGATCCAATTTTCTAAAAGATTAATATTTCCAGCATTTCAGTCTTTTGTACAGGAAATGCTGTGAATTCGCAAGAACCACAGAATCTTAAAGAATTATTATAGAATATTTAAAAATTCATGTCACTATTAAAGACGTATTTATATTTCACAGATGAACCAAGCTACCCATTATTTAGACGCATCGATGATATACGGCACGTCGGAACAACAGACATTGTCGTTGAGACAAATGTCGTTGGGCCTACTTTTGGTAGACGATAGATTTTTCTATCTTAATACCTTGCCGCTGGAAACCACCGATACGAACTTTTGTCAGAACGGCCCAGGCACGTGCTATAGGGCTGGTGACATTCGAGCAAACGCGTATCCACAACTGAATGCCTTGTACGCAATGTGGGTATTGGAACACAACCGGATAGCCCGAGAAGTGTATAAAGAAAATCTCTTCTTGTCTGACGAAGAAATTTTCCGGGAGGCCAAGAAAATCGTGACGGCTTTCATACAGCACATCACTTACAACGAATGGCTGCCGGCACTGCTTGGCGTTAACTACACCAAGGAAAACGGTTTGGGACTGGGACAAAGAACCGTGTATGACGTGACTGCCGATCCGACCGTTAGCAACAGCTTCGCGACCGCGATACTGCCTTTCGCCAATTCCATGATTGGCGATAAAATTAGGTTCGGACATATACCACATATAATATTATTAGTGTCATTATTATAATCGGGTAGGTCATTTCATGGTATCAGTTCTTAAAATAGACTTAAACAACAGTCGTACTTAAAAAAATATTCCTATTAAAATTTAAGATTAACATCTATTACTGCCCTCCTAAGCCAAAATACAATAAGCGACAAAATTTTAAAAGTGAATTTATTATACCAAATTAATCAATTTTTTAATTTTTTGTTTCCTTAACAAAAATACCGTAAATGCAATAGATTGTATAATAAACATGGTTAGTCATATACGTATTTACAAATATATGAATGATACTAAGCAAAAATGCTGTATCAAACACATCCTAAGCAAAAAGGCAGTAACTGACCACGGTATACAGTAATTTTGCTTAGTTTTGGCTCAAATGCGGTATTTTTGTTAAGTATTGATAATAATTTTCTAGCCGTATGACACAATATCATATATTATCATACATTATAATAATTTATAAACATACGCTGTTAACCACTGTCTTAGAAGACCCCTGTGTTAACGGTTTGGTTGTTCTTAATTCTGTGATTCTGTGATAATATTTAATTTTTATGCTATTAATAAAATATGTGCTCATACTGCATTTTCCCTCTGTAAACTATAATATTTATGTCTCATATCACTAAGCTAAAAGTACGTATAATATGTGTTTTGAGGTGTTAAGAGGTATCTTAGAGTTTATCCATGAGCGTTATTGGATTCTACAGGAAAAGTTATTTAAGAATCATTAATATATTATTTTATTTTGAAAATATGATAAAAATAATAAGGTGATTCAGAAAAATGTATTTTTCTCAAAACTACTACAATTGTAAGCAACAATTCCTTTTGGCTTAGGAGGGCAGATAATATTATATAGGTGCACAATATCGTCATCTTATTTCGCCAATATCAACTTGTTTGCAGTTTTTAATATTTAAAACTGTTTAATGATAATGTGTTTTATTTTGTCTGTCAGATTCCCCGCAAATTTTAATACTAAAAACAATAAAAAAAAATTCCCTACAAGTAAAATTAATTTTTTTTGTGCTTTTGATTTTAAAATGTTTAGGTTTTGGATTGCGTTTATATTTTCATCGGTAATTGAACTAATTTTTACCTATCAATTTTTGATATACAGTATATCCCAGAAGTCCCGTATCACCAATAGTATCTCGGTGGAAAATCAATAGGTATATTTAAATTCAGTTTTTTTTTACAGTAATAAATATGGAAATTCTGATTGAATAGCATAATTTTCGATTTTTTTTTCAAACATTTTTGTTTTGGCAAATAAGTGATCGTGGAATGTTGATCGTATTTTTTAAAACATTAAAATTTAATAAAAACGGCATTAGCAAAATACGATTCGCATGCTTTAATCAGAAATTGGAACGTCGATATTTTTTATGACAATCTTATCTAGTTATTAGTGAAACCTTTCTGCTATACAATTAAAAACTTAAATTAAAGTTTTGATTATAATATATATTATAAAATAACAATAACCGTGTCTTATCGTTTACTGAACAGTAATTTAATAGGTGGTATTGACACTATTCTAAATAACGATAAACGCAAAACTTCTATAGGTAACGTTTTAATTCAGAATAACCATATAGGTACGCACAACTTAGATTTTTTTAATTATAAATAACATAAAACGAAATTTTTTTTTAAATTCGAGCCCTAGTTTAGATAGGTAGGTACTTTATATGGTTCCACTACATAATATTTCATTAATATCTTCGATAATATTGTACATAATATTATTGATTTAAGATGAAAAATATACAATTATATATAAGAATTATAGTTTGAAATAAATAAATAAAATAATAAAGTTGTATTTTGTTATACGTAAGACGCTAATTATAATTTTTATAATAAGTGTTGGTTTCTATGGAGCATTTGAACCGGTTAATGTTCCAGTAATAGTAAGTGAATGGAATTTAAAGGAAAATTACAATAAACCGAGTAATTTAATGAAAGATTTCTGGAATCGTATGCTAACAGGACTATATGTGCAAGCTACACAAAAAATCGATATGGTGTTTACTGAAATGGTAATTTAAGATTATTGACAATATTACATACATTCTGATTTTTTAAATAATTTTTATAGCTTACAAATTACCTATATGTTATGGACCAAAATTATTATTCGTTTGGCATGGACATCGTCAGTTTGGATATACAGCGAAGCCGCGATCACGGTATTCCAAGCTACACACAATTTAGAAAATACTGTGGACTAAAAGACATAGAAAATGTGCAAGATTTGTCTGAGATCATGGTGGAAGGTGTAAGTTTGAAAAAAAAAACTTAAAATATTTAAATCATAATATAATTATAATTTACTGATTATTTTATTTCTGCATGTTGTTTTTAGTCAGCTGATAAATTATTGAAGCTATACAAAACTTGGAACGATATAGATCTATTGGTTGGTGCATTGTTGGAGAAACACGTTGACGACGCCATGGTTGGCCCTACGATGAGGTGCCTCATCAGGGAACAATTTGTAAGAACTAGAATTGCAGATAGATATTTTTATGATGTACCAGGAGTATTCACTGATTGTTAGTTACCTAAATTATTTTTAATGAATGAACATAATTTGAACTAACCTATATTTTTAATTTAAGATCAACTGGAGATTATCAAGCGCGTGACGCTTTCCAGAGTTTTATGTGATATCGGGGAAGTCGAAAAGATTCCACTACAAGCCTTTTTGAGACCGGCGGATCATCCTAAATTTGTTCGTAATTGTGATAGTGAAGTTCCGAAATACAACTTAAGTGGTTGGTTCGATAAAACCAGAGACAATTTTTTTGGGATAAATAACTCTAAAAATTAATTGTACACATTTGAATATGAAAATGTATTTTTATAATATGGTTTTGATATGAATACGTTTTTCATCATTCTTCTCTATTTTTGTATGGACAACATAATTTAAGATGCACTGGTTTACAAGATAATGACGTAACCAGTATCATCCACTGACTATTTTTCCAGTCACAATAATTACTTCCAGAAAAATCTCCTGAATAATTTTATAATATGATATATTTAACTATAATTTATGAATGTTGAAAAAACCATTATATATGTTTTTTAATTCTCAGTTGTACCCTTTTTTAATTTAATAATGAATAAACATTATACACTTAACTATATTTTTTTACTTTTTCGGTATGCATTATGTAATATTTAATTATAAATATTAATTATAAGTTAAATTCAAATATTTGTATAAATTATTATTTAAATTATAATTTTATACCGAGGTTCATTTGAAAACAAATGGATAATATTCTAACTTTATTAATAAATATTATTAAATATTATATAACAAGAGTATTCTACTAAGTTCTTAATTCAACTAGTGACATAATGTTTTGAATTATGTATCGATTAAGTTTAATATAAAAATGTATATCAAGTATAAATGTGAACCTACTAAATATTATCAAAATTACCTAAACATTAGAACAATAATTGCTCTACAAACGCCAAAACTAATAAAAATTCAAGATAGAAGTTTAAGTTTTCAATTCTTTGATGTATGAAACGGATTTTGTGGTACTTGAAAAGCATTGCCTGGGACTTTCTAAAAAATAATTTATTTATTTTACATTAAAATGTGGGCCTTATATAGTTATAAGTATTTACAGTTAAGTTGAGCGGAGTGGATCATGTTGGTCTACTACCAAGGTATTCTAAATAGATCATTTTTTAAATCGTCTACAATAATAATATTATACCAGGCGGATTAATTTGTAAAATCCTGAGGGACATAATATGGCAACGGCCCACTGTGCAATTTTACAGTACCAGCACCACAGTGGCCTTTTCCGCCCATGCCTACTGGAGTGTTTAAAAGTGTACCGATTGGATGTACCTACCGATTTGTTGATATATTTGGTTGTTTATGGCTTTATGGGTATCATTGTCGATAACATTTACTCAGTATTTAATATCGCATAGGTACACCCGCTGTTAATAAAATACTTGAATAAAACTTGTATACATCTACTCATATTATAGGGTGCCCGACAATAATTTTGCTACAATGAACTTTTTATCAAATATTTATACAAAAATTTGACCATTAAGATTTTACAGTTATACCAGATAGACCTAATTGGTCCAGTATATTCAAATACATTTTAGACTTAAATAAAATAATATATATAATAATGCAGCAGGGCACGCGAATCTTTACTCGAAGTGACGGCGTGCCATAAGGTAATAAATTATCCAATATTATGTGTTACCAGAGGTTTACAAAGATGTTGAAACATCGCTAACGTTTATAATTGGTTGTAAACTTTATGATCCTCGTTTATAATTTTATGCAGCTGGGTACGAGTAAAATGTACTTAGGCATATCTTAATTATTTTAATAGAAGTAAAGAAAACATAATAATTATTGATTTTTAATATTGTTGAAATTATACAATTACTGTAAATAATACATTTTATATTTTCTTATATTTTGTGGTATACATTTGTGGCCCATTATCCATTGGTAATTTAATGTAAACAATTATTTTATATAAAGTCGGTAGATAAAATGTGGTCCAATTACCGACTGCGTATAATATAATTTATCAATAATATCATACAATATGTATTTCTTCTATGGTTATATCGATCCATTGTCTCTACGTCATGTGCCTAAGGAAAAAAATCAAAAAATCACTATCATGGACCATGGTTGTTGCAATGAAGAAGACAAAAATTATTATTTTATATCCAGTCAAGTTTCGGTGTCCGGTGAACAAGTGCAGCCATCCCCCACCCGAGGGGATGGCGGAAACCTACAGGTGCCCCACTAGAAATTCTGCCACAACACACACACGTGTATCAAACCTATCCAATTCAAAACTCACAGTTCTACCTCCACCCAATGGCCTATGTTGCCACAGGTCATCTAATAAAAAAAAAACTAGTGAGTGTTGTTGAACACTCGGCAGGAACGAAGTTCCTTTTTTGAATAACTTTTGTTGATGTGTTTAATGAGATATCAAGAAAGAATGTACAATACAATTTTTACATAATAAAGTATAATTAATTTTTATTGAATTTATTTCTTTTAGTAAGAGCAAAAAATATTTATACATTTTTAATAAGTAATAACCCTTTTAATGCATAATTTTTTTTTTGTGGATTAAAAACAGTATGTAAATGATCATACAATATTAGTATTTAATTTGCTCCAATAAATTTCAAAATGTTATAGAGACGTTTCTTGTACTGTTTAAATTGGACTCAATAGTAAATACTGTAAAATACTAACTCTGTTTATACAAAATCCTCATTATTTATTGATTAATAATTGAATATAAAAATTGTTTTTCAACAATACCATACATGATAGATGTATTCAGTAACAGCCCAGTGGAAATAATATACACAGCGGCCCATTCTACTTTACAAATAAAAGCACGTTATAATATATAACACACCTAGATAATTTATTATGAATAATATTTTATTAATACATAAAGAGAAAGGAATTGTCAAGGCTGAATAAGTAAAAAAATAAATATAAAAAATAGGCATAGATTTTTGAATATAATTATTTACACACAATAATAAAACATATACATAAATAATAATATTAAATCATCTTAGAGACTAAGAAGTTTGGTCAACACAAGTATCACATTCAAAATACATAACAAATTGCATTACATTATAAGTATGGCTGTGAATTTAATGCACTAAACAACCTTAAAAAATACATTAAAAATGTCAAATATATGCAATTAAATATGCACTTAAAATGCAAAGAAAAAGGAATATAAAATGCCAAAAATTATAGTATAAAATGTATTAAAATTAAATCGTCTACTTTCGGAAAAATATTTCCTATTTCTTCTGCTACCCTATGTAGAGTATAGGCAAGACATGTCATGTGTTCCATTTTAGATTAAAGTAATTTTAAAGGTTTTCCTGCTTTCACCATCTATATTCTATGGTGCAGCGTCTGATAAAAATAGTAGGACATTCTCCCGTTGAATACCACCCGGCCATAATAACGAAAGTGATTGTTCAAAACATCTAACTATTGTACCACTATTAGCTTTTTCTGACACTGTTGAATCTAATAAAAAATCTTTACCGGGATGGCCCAATTCTAATGTGCCAATTATTATATTTGCAATATATCTAATCATTGTATCTGTTGTCTCGTCAATTGAAATCCAAATTTTTTTATTTGATGCATACGTTCTGACTTCAAATATAGTGTCTTCGTAACATTCGTGTACATATGTTTTTCTTAATGTTGATTGGTCAGGTATCGATTTATTAGTATATTTTTCTAGAAATGTACGAAAAGTCGGTTGCAATAATTTATTCAGTGGTATATTCACACTTAAAAAAGCTTTACAAAGGTCACTATTAAAACATGAGTTTGATGAAGTTGTGATCAAAGTTTGAAGGCATGAAGTTTCTTTATCGTTTTTTTTTTTTGGGACACCTACAATATGCTTGTTACTTGCTACGTATTGTTGTATCCTACATTTTTTTTCCACTGAAACTAACTTTACAAACTTTACAGTATAATATTGTACCATCCATACTAAAAATATCACCGCCAAATTCATTGACGTACTTTCGTAATGTTGACGAGAAAAGCGGTTTTGATTTTGGCATTTTACTGTAACACACTTCACTGTACACTCGCGAATGCCGAACAGGTACTATAAACAATATTATACTGAAATAAATACCAATAACTTAATCTGGAAATTCGTGACTGATATACGATGTCACAGATAATAACTTATCTAGTTGTCTAGCAATTGGCTTATTTTATCTTCGATTTAAAAAGAAAAATTTTTACGAATTCATAACTCAAAATAATTTGCTAATTTTCGTGATTTTTCCATATTTTGTCAATTTTTTAACTTTAAATGCTTATAAAAAAAACTGCGACTAAGGATTTTTAATATTTTTCATCTGCCTTTGAAACAATATACTAGGAGCCTTGTATTAAATTTTCAACCTTTTTTAACCAACAAATAAAATTTTATTGATATTTTTAGAAAAAAAAACTAAAAAAAAATGGAAAATTAAAATGTTCCTAAACAGTTCAAAACAAATCATAATATTTTGAAAATTTTATAGTACATAGAAAATGGAAATATAAACAACCAGTGAAAATTTCATGTATATAGATTCATTTGTTTTAGAGTTACACCAAAAACCCAAATCGATTTTGTGGAAAACCGATTTTCCGTAAAAATACCCATTTTTCCTTAATTTATGTTGTTTTTCCTAACCGCTTTTGAAAACTATTGGGAATTTTAAATTTTGACCTCCCCAATGCACGATGTACGATATTCACTTTCCAATGGATGTAATGCCCATTTAAGGGCGGGGGGGGGGCTGGAGAAATGGGTGAATTCCGTGCAATTTGGATAACCAAAACTTTTTTCGTCCCAACTGTTTGTAAGTCGTTTGTAAAGTTGTGCAAATGCAAAATTTTTGTTAGTTGTTCTTCAAAAAATATCAATAATATTTTATTTGATGCACCAAGTTTGAAATTTTAATACAAGGTTCCTGATATATTTTTACAATAGTAGTTGAAAAATATTAATAATACATATGCACAACTTTTTTTCAGAATCGTTTTTCTTATATTATAAAATTGAATTCAAATTGAACCCAATCCGATACTGTGACCCACTTGTACATCAGAGTAACATTCACTTGAGTACTTGCTTTTTATCGTTTCTATTTATATTTGTTCAATTTAGATGTTTTATACAATATTTTCATTTAATATATAACGTGAATGATAAGGACGAAACCGAGAAATATATTAGATATATTACAAAT